CGGCGTATGTATAGGGAAAAGAAAGTAAAGATATTTTAATTTTTGTTAAGGGGTTATCTTTTAGGAAATAATAATCAGTGAGACGGTGTAAAATTAGATCTTTATTAAACGGGCGAACGGTTAGAACTGGCCCGTCCGTTCGGAGCCACGCAGGTCAGCAACGTCTCCAGAAAACCGGCGACAAAAGACAAAAGACAAAACGCGGGGGAAGGGATCGCCCCCTCGCATCACTAGGACGTAGAGTTTATTTACTCCAACAATTTTACGTGCATCTTTCCTTTCTTTTCTCTGTACATACAACGACTGCGATAAATGTAAGAATGCTTATGCAACCGACTGTATGTGTTCCTCGGCCATAGCGACGTATTTACGTGGGGCACATTTATGAGTCCCTCGGCCCTATCATTTATTTCCGCCAAATGCATATACGAGCTCCTCGGCCAAACTGATGGTTTCCATCGAATGGCGGAATATATGCGACGGTCATCCGCAGAGGATTAAAATCTTGGCACCTTGGAGTCCAAGTACCCTTATCTCTCGCCGCAGACAGGTCCAAAGTCACCGAACCTAAATCTCGTAATACTCGCGATCGGGGTCGCTCGTTCGAGACACCTAGCCTTTAAAATTTCCAAATTTCATCGAATTTCGAGAAGTCCCGAGAAATTTCTTAGACCTCGTACCTAGTACTCGCGCTTATGGCATTTCGCCAGTCATCTCGAGATCAACGCGGGCTTAACTCGAAGCTATCGATTCGCGATAATGCATGGCAGCGTTATCGAGGGCACGCGTCGAGTCGCCTGAGCGTAGCCGTGCATCTCTCGGGAATGCGAGGAGCAATTGGCGACCAAGCCTCCTCCGTAGGTGGTGGGCGTCGAACACGCACTCCGACGCTACTCCAGGGCGGACGTTTGATATTCGGCTGTTAAATAATCCCGCGATACTCGACGAGTCGACGCGAGAGGTGATGCAAGCTGGAAGCTCCACGCGAACCTACAGCGAGGGCAGAAAGTCGACACCGATTACTAGGTTATCGGCATTTTTACCCTATCCGATTTCTCATCCGGCTACGAAACTCCGCGCAGCTTCTCGAAACCCGCGGGAAAAAGCTCCTTAAAAGTTTCTCGCGCGCATTCCGCGGATAGTGGGTCACCGTCGTGTTTTCAGCGGGGAACATCCCGTTTGCTGGTAAAACGACGCGAGAGATTCGCGATGTACGTACAACGGGCCCCGTGTAAATAAAAGTAAAACCCTTCTCTCCCTCTCTCTCTCTCTATCTCCTCTCTTTCTCCCTTTTTCGCTGGGCTGTTTCGTTCGTTCTCCCTCTTCGGCGTGTTTCCGTGGAAATGATGAAATATAGGCAGGCACGTAGGAAGCGTTATCGAGTGCATCGCGCGGAAGCACCCGTCAGCTTTCCATTAAAATAAATGTGCATATTAAAGCGCGCACTTTGTAATTAAAATTAACGCCGGCCATTTCTGCCGGAGGCTTTCGGCTTGCGCCGCGCAGAGATTACTCGGGTGTTCGAAGCGGGTGTATCGTCCGTGCAAACGTTTCCTTGTCCCACCCGTCTGTTCCTTGCGTTTCCGCGCCCACACGGTCAATCCCGATTAACCGGCCCGATTAATCCCGATTAATGGGCCGAGTGCCCGCGGAAGTAATGGCCGCTCGCGTTGCTTACCGTCCGTCTTGGGGTTTAATCAACGGGGACTAGCTCGAGCGGATATCTCGATGGGTGTTTTATTCACTCCGTGTTCCTCGTGCGTATGACTGGCCGATTATGACGGAAACACTCGTTGGGCAATCAAACGTAATTTCTCGCAGGTTCAACGGAAACGTACTGTGCAATTAAACGCGGATACTCTTGTGTCACTTTTTCTTTCCACCGAGGACTGCCGTGTTCCATTAAGATGGAAAGATAAGATTAACTCCTTCCTGTGTTTTGACGAGTCTGACTCGTGAAAAACGATTTGGGCCAAACGTGAATATCACGAGCCCGACACGTGACGAGGATTTTGGGCCAAACGTGAATATCACGAGCCAGACTCGTGAACGGTAGTATCCATAACGCACGGTCCACAACGATAGTTTCGCGTAAAACTGACTATATCACATTTCCCCGGATTTCGTCGGGCTAAATGGCACGAGAAGGGGTTAAGAATCGATACGTCGCGATTCAATTTTTCTCCAACCTTGAAATACGGTCAGAGGGACGAGGGTATCGTCGTAGTTTCTGCAAATAGGCTTCGGGAAACTCGTATCATTTATCTCTAGCTGACTTTCGTTGGCTCCAGTGTTCCACGAATCTTTCGTCGAGCGTCGTTGCTACGAATGGCATCTATGAACTATCTATCTTCTATTAGATACCGCTTCCGCGAACACAGTATGGAGCAAGCTTGTCCCGAACTCGCGTCTGTCTCACTCCGTTGAACCCGTCACGATCTCACGCGTGGCTCGGTTTCGGGACAAAGATCGGTGCCCCCCGTTTCCGGATTAATCCGTAGAAAGTCTCGTGCCGGTGGTCGCTGGGTTGCCCGGTAAACGCGCTAATTAAAGCGTCGTTTCACGGTTGTTTCATTTTCCCAGGCAGAGAAGTGGTCCCTGACGCGAGGGCAGCGCGGAGTGTTTTCCGTGGCGACGCGCGTGGCAGAATCGAGCGATAGCTCGGTGGAAATGGCGATCGGATCGGTGGTTAATTACGGTCTTAACCTACATACGAGGTGCGTGTGTCGCGGCGGGAATTCGCGGGGAAAGGCACGCGTGCGCCGATCAGATAGCGCTGAGGAAGAGGAGCGTCTCGACGCGCACCGCGACCATCTTTCCTTTCGATCTTCCTCGCGCGCGCGCGCGCGCACCAGCGGTCCTCGAGCAGTGCTCGTGCACGCGCATACCTGGATATCTCGCGATCCTTATCCGCTTGTCGGATAACCCGATCCTCTTTCCACCTTCCTTGCCACTCGGCCATTGCGTGCTTCGCGCCTGCCTCCAAATACTCTGCCTCCGTTCTTCTTCGCTTCTGAGACAGCCTCGGACGCTTTTTCGCGCGTCGAGAATCCGCTCGCGGGTAGGGAACTCGATTGTCGTATCGTAGTAGGTTACCTTTGCTTTTCGTTGGTCTACGCTTTGCGATTTCTCGCGTGTTCTCGGTGCAACGCTTTCTTTTTACCGGTGATTGTACCAGCGCGTGATTTCCAGTACTCCGAGTGTTAATTACGCGGTTATTACGCAGGTGGCAGCAGTGCTTCTGTATCGATATGGATCTTATCTGGTCTCCCGATCGATATTGTCCGTGGTTCGTTCGATTGTTATCTGAATTTTTGCAAACGTCACGCATTGTGCCCCTAGGTATACCTTTGCTTTTTTCCCCGAGCTGATGTACGATCAAAGTTTTACGCGCGTCACAGTTATCTCGAATGTCACGGAGAAAGTAGAATTTCACCGCGAATAAACGATCCAAGTAATTTCCGAATCCACGACCTTTCGATACGTCTGCTCACGACCCAGTCTCGAACGACCGGTAAAAAGGAGCTTTCGATCGAAACGCGAATGATCGGTGCAGCGTGGTCAATTACGATTCCGAGAGAGCGGGAAAAGAAACGGGGCAACGGACTATGGAGGCTGCGGAGTTGGACTCGTCGGCTCCGGCCATAAACTGGAATTGACGCGTTGCAGGAGGGAGACTCGACAGGCCGCGAGATGGGTGTTCGGAAAATAAGGAAAGTTTTTGTCGCGATTGAACGTTACCCTCCGTGGCGATAAGAAGGAACGAGCAGGAGGAACACCTTTTTCTTCCCGGCCGGTTCTGCATCCACTCTTCCTTTCCCCGGTATAGAAATTTTTTCTTCGTTCTCACGTATTTCTGCGCGTTCTGTGCAAAGTCAGGCGTTTCATTTCGTTAAGAGTAGTATGCGTTGGGGTTCCGATTCAAAGGCACCTGGTTTCCCTAGTCGATAAATTGTCAGAGCCCTCCCTTCGTTCTCTCTCCCTTCCTCTCCCTCCCTCTCTCTCGGCTGCATGCTTCTGCCCTCGCGTTCTCACCTCCGTGCCTTTTCTTTCCCGTTCAACGACTTTTAGGAAGTCCTACCGAGAACTTTGGAACGACGAGGCCTTTCCGATCGCGTGCTCGAGTAATTATCGCGGATAACGCGCCCCCCTTCACAGGGGTTGGTATTTTCTACGCGTTTTCATCGCGGAGTCTCTCCCCTGCTCTCGATATTTTCGTCAACCCAGGCGTTTCTCTTCTTTCCCATTCCCATTATTTACATTTTCGTCCTCGACCCCCCCTCGCGCGCGCGGATTACCCGTTCGACGAGTACTCGCGTGCAAGCACGCGTCAGATTCGCCTGGAGTTCGGAGAGATAATCGGGGCAATTATTCCACTGGTGGAAGGTGTGTCGTGTCCCGGGTGTCGTTGGTCCGGCGTTAACTCGCGATTAATGTAAAACAGCCGTATAGTCACGCTAAACGTCCTCCAGCTTTCGCGAAAATGCCGGTGCTTTTGATTTAACGTCGGTCTACGTCAAAAGACGTCTTTATACACTCCCGTATCCTCGTTTCACAACACGGCGCCGTTTTAAACTCGCGTAGCCGCTCTTTTTACACGAGGCAGGCGCTCTGGAACTACTGGAAAGTCGTTATCCCGTTCGGTTACACGCGCAAGCGATCGTTTAAACGTGGCTGGACGCGATAACGAGGAAGAAATTCCTAAACTTTGCATTCCGTTTCGTGGAAATTAATACCGCGACGGTCGCGTCTCCTTCTCTTCGCGAGTACAGCGTAAACTGGAGGAACGAGCCGGTACGCGTTACGCCGCGTTTCCAACCGGTCTATAAAATGCAAATGGCGCGCGCTACTAAAACTTCCGATCGACAATACGGTTCTCGCGTGCCGCGGAGTCTCTCGCGCGAACGGAAACGGGAGAAAGGGGAGAAAGGGGAGAAAGGGAGAGGGTGGAAAGGCAAAGGCAGCTGGAATGAACGTTTGTTGGGATTTTGTTTGTGCAGGTCTGGGCGAGGCTCGAGGAAGACGCCTCCGCGAGGATTGCCGGGCGCAGCGAAGGAGGAAGTGGCGAGGGATCGTGAGCGGTAGAAAGTAGAGTAGTAAGATGCTAGTCTTCCCGGGCAACGGCGAGGCACCGACGAGGATGGGATCGGTGCTGTCGCATCAACGACAACTTCGTCTGCTCCTGTCGATCCTGGTGCTGTTGTCTCCTCGGCTGCCGGTCCGATCGACGTCCGCCGACATAGTACAAAGGTTCCACGACCCGGAGGTGAAGCGAATGAACCATCTGGTCGTGGACAAGAACACCGGCCGGGTGTACGTGGGCGCGGTGAACCGGCTTTATCAGCTCTCGCCGGACTTGAATCTCGTTGTGAAGGAAATGACCGGGCCGAAAGGCGACTCGCCCGCTTGCTCCATGATCAACTGTCCCCGCGAAACGCCGACGCGGATGGTCGACAACGTGAACAAGGTGCTGGTGATCGACTACACGACCACCAGGTTGATCTCGTGCGGAAGCCTGTTCCAGGGCACCTGCAGGGTACGAAATCTGCAGAATATATCGGACGTGGTGCAAGAAGTGCAGGAGGCGGTGGTGGCGAACAACGCTACCGCCTCGACGGTCGCGTTCATCGCGCCGGGGCCCCCGAATCCGCCCGTTTCTCAAGTCATGTACGTGGGCGTCACTTATACCGGCAACTCGCCCTACCGATCCGAGGTGCCCGCGGTCAGCTCCAGATCGTTGGACAAGGACAAGATGCTGAACATCGCGGAATCCGCTGTCACCACGGGCACCAGGATGTACGTGAACTCGTTGTCGCGCGAGAGATACCCTATCAACTACGTGTACGGGATCAGCAGCGGCGGTTTCAGCTACTTCATGACCACGCAGATGAAGAACAGCATGACGGCGGTGTTCATATCGAAGCTGGTCAGGGTTTGCCACGACGACGAGCATTACTACTCGTACACCGAGATACCGATCAATTGCACCAACAACGGCACCTACTACAACCTGGTCCAGGCCGCGTACGTGGGCAAGGCCGGCTCGGTTCTCGCCGTCGATTTGGGCATCACGGCCCAGGACGACGTGTTGTTCGCCGTTTTCGCCGAGAGCAACAGCACCAGCAGCGACGAACCCAAGGAACATTCCGCGCTCTGCGTGTACTCGTTGAAGGCTATTCGCAGGAAGTTCATGACCAATATACAGAAGTGCTTCAGAGGCGAGGGTCACCGGGGACTGGAATACATCTCTCCGGGTCACGTTTGCATCTTAACGGTGAGTCAATTCTTTCTCTCTCGCCTTTGTCCCATCTTCTCGCGATCCCTCCGCGTCTTTCGCTCGCCGATGTCTCTCGGCCAGACTTGGCACGCTCGACCGACCGCTAAACCGATCTTCCGCCAGCCGGATTGCTTCTCCTTTTCCTCCGCGTTTCTCCGTTTAAACGGAACCATCCTGCGCGAAACCGCGGCGTCCGACCTTCGCGGAGCGGAGAACGCGGACGATCGAAAGAGCGAGGGAAAGCGAATCGGAGGATGAAAGCCGAATCGCGATCAAAGTCGAGGCAGCCGAGTTCTCGAGTACACTCTCGGATAAAAAGGTCGCATACGCGTGCCGCCATCGACCCCTCAACGATTCTCAACGTCCGTGATTCTCTAAATTACCCGATCCTGGCACACGAACCTTACTTTGCGGCACGAGGAATTTCCGAGCTTATTCCAATACCATTAATCGAGATTAACCGAGAAAACAACGTAACGGATATATTAACGACGAGCATTAGGAAGACAAGCATTAGGGGCTAATAGAAATTCGATAGACCGCAGATTTTATCTCTCTCGATCTAATCGTATACAGCTTTATCGAATACATCTCGCGATGCATTTTTAAACCGGTCTGCTAACTCGCTAGACGATTTCGTATCGCGTTTAAATCGGGCAAGCGGGGGCTAGCTCGCTCGGTCCAAAAGCGGAATGTTCTCGCGTGAAAAGTACTCTTTGCATGTTGGCCGCGCTTTTATCGAATCGAGATAGCCGGTATACTAATTTAGCCTCGAACTTACACGATCTTCGCTTATTTCCATCTCCCCTACGTCCTACGTAAAGACTCGTTACGTAAGAGCAGAAATTACACCCCTTTCGGTGGCGAATATATATCTCGTACAGGAAAGAAATATGAAGAAATATTTCCCAACATCCATCCCCATCTCGATAAATCGGAAATTAAATCGTAAGTCTGTCCCAGGGTCTCTGTACCCCGTCAGCCGATGTTTACGCGCAAATAGAGGAATTAAATATTAATTACGCGAGAAATTTCGTGAATCGGGGAACTGGGGATTGGCGTGCTATTTTTCGGCCACGAATTGCGAACATGAGTGACGGCAAATGGATTTTCCCCCTAAGTTACACCATATTCGCGTATTTTCATCTCCCCTACGTCCTACGTAAAGACTCGTTACGTAAGAGCAGAAATTACATCCCTTTCTGTGGCGAATATATATCTCGTACAGGAAAGAAATATGGAGAAATATTTCCCAACATCCATCCCCATCTCGATAAATTGGAAATTAAATCGTAAGTCTGTCCCAGGGTCTCTGTACCCCGTCAGCCGATGTTCACGCGCAGTACGAAAGAAATATGGAGAAATATTTCCCAACATCCATCCCCATCTCGATAAATCGGAAATTAAATCGTAAGTCTGTCCCAGGGTCTCTGTACCCCGTCAGCCGATGTTCACGCGCAGTTAGACGAATAAAATATTAATTACGCGAGAAATTTCGAGAATCGGGGATCGAGGCGCTATCTTTCGGCCACGAATGGCGAGCATGAGCGACGGGAAATGGATTTTCCCGTTTACGGGGCCCCCGGTACAGTGGCGCAGGTACGATAACGGTGCGGCGTTTGGTCGTCCATCGGTGTCGATTTGCATTCGGGAACGTACGTTTGCTTTACTGGCAGCCGGGTAATCGGTAAACCGGCATCGGGCCTGTTATCGCGTGACAGCGCCGCATGGGGGCGCTCAAAGAACCCCCTAGGAAAGAAACACGAGAACAGGGCGCGTGCTTTCTTGCTCGATTTTACACGTGCACCCACGATCGGTTCGTGCGGCGACGTTACAACGTCGGCTGAATGATCGTTTCTCATTTACATAGGGTCGAATATAAAGTAAACTTTTGCACTGTGCCCGGGTACACGTCGCGCGTTGTTGTTCAATTCGTACGTATCTTGTTGCAACACCGACGACCGGCTTAACGTGTACGCGCCCGGTGCTACAGCCGAGATTTAAACCGATTACCGTTTGATCGTTAGGACGATAGCGTGGATTTTGTTATCGATTTTTACTCCGTGTTCCGCTTCTTCCTTTTTTCCCTATTTATTTCGGCACTCTCCGTTTGTTTCTGGTTGGCTTGTAACGGGCGCACGCTAGCCGGAGAGCTACCCGTTGTTCGAACAAACGCGTACATCGAGTCGACGTTGTTCCACCGATGTTCCACCTATGGGGGGGTTGGCATCGACCGAATCCCGGTCTTCGAGTAATTAGGTGCGCGGAAAATTATTTTTCCGACTGGTGCAGTCCTAGTCGATCAGAGATTTACCATATGTACCCTTTCTCCTAAATATGCGATACGGAGTATATGTTTACGTAGGGTTAACCCTTTCGCGATGGCGCACGTGTACCCCATATTTCGTCACTTTTCATCTTGTCGCGATTGACCATACTTTGCCACCATTTTCTGCGTGGCCTGATTCCTGTATTAACTTTATTTTTAATAATATAATTATCATTTGCCGCTGTAAACCAATAAATGACTGTCGTATATATACAACACCCATCGCGAAAGGGTTAATGCTAGATTAACCCTATGCTGACAGAGATCTGCGCGTTTAATAAACAACGACTTCTTTTTAATAACAAAACAGATTTATTTAACTAAAATATTGAACTATGTTTCTGTTGGTACTTTTAGTGTGGGATATTAATATATTTGATGAATTACTTTGAATTACCACTCTCGTCCATACAATTCTTGCACGTGGACATGCACCCCTCCGTCTGCATTTCAGATGTTACCCTAAACGTCTAAGCCGGACCCGATACCGCTCTTAACGCTATGGCGTCCACTCGTCTAAACGGGATTCTTTCGTTTGGCGAATTTTTTACTCATTATTTGCCATAATCATCATGATACCAACGTGATGCCACCGGACGGCATAGTGTTAACCCTTTGCACTCGATAGGCGCCTCTCAGTCGCCGTTTAATCAGATTCCAAAGATGGATGTTAATTAATATATCAAATTTACAATTACCCAACGATGCGTGAAATATTAAAGTAAAATAATTTCACGTCTTAAATCGCATACGATTTCTTATTTACCGTTTCAAAAATATCCTCCACCTTAAGGCAGAAAATGATTATTTTCCTGTAACGACGAAATCGTCGATCGCAAAGGGTTAACACCGTTTCCTTTGCTAGACTCCTTCCCAGCTCACGATACCGCATATTCTTCGTTTCTTCGTAAGTCGAACGATGGTTGGAAAGCCGACATTTTGTCGTAGAGAAAAACGTACACGTTATCGCAACGTGCAAAGAACGCAATCCCGAGAAGGCCGATCGGAATCGAATTAGACGGTGTATAATCTAGCTCACGTAGACCAAGTATACCCGGAGTCGATGATTCCTGAATGGTTGCCAGGTAGGAAAACCTCTCGCAGAAGGCCACGACTCGTCCTCGCGGTCCATTACGAACGTAAATCAATTGGCCGCGTCTCCGAGTGAGGCTCTCGTATTTACGTAACAGGTGGTAGTATCGATGCAATTGAAATCCTCCATTATGACTAGCTGGGAGCCTCGAGGTGTCATCTGCCCTTCTCTCTTCGAACGATCTTTTCTTCGCGATTCTTCATCGAGATCCATCTTCTCGAAAATTTCCGCGAGACGTTTGAAGATGTTTGGTGAAAAGCAGTAGGTCGAGAGAGTAGCCCGAGGTTGGTTTACTCGCGGCGCTAGTGCGCTTGTCTGGGGTATCATGGCGGCCGGCGTGGAAAAGGGGTGCGTTTCAAAAATAGAATCGCGCGAATACGGATCGATGAGTTTTTCCAGCACGAAGTGCGACAGACACGCGAGTGTTCTCGCGTCATAAGGCGTAATGTCAAAGGTTCCCACGAGTGACTCATAATAAAACGCTTGCATCGTTTATTACCGAGGGTAGAGGGAGGTGGATAGGTTGGAAGCGAAGCCTCTCGTCCTGCGACATTTTCGGCAGCGATTTTCCGGAGGAAAACTCGGCTGGATAGTGGAAAACGTTTATTCAAATTTTCCCTGGACTATCCACCTTCTTCCCCTTATTCCTCCTTCTTCGTTTGCTTTTCAGGCGTCTTTTCTTTCCTCTGTTTCGTTCGTTGCTGTTTCGAGTCTATTTTCTTAACCTTCTTCCTCCTCGTTTTCTTCCCCCCTGTTTTTTCCTTTTTTCTTTCCTCCCCCTCTCGTGCCCGGCGAGAAAGTATGCGGGGGGAACACAAAGGATCTGTTCACGTACGTAGGGCGAGAAAAAGGCAGAACCTGCGACGGGAAAGCCGGAGAGAAGAGTCGGCTGCCGGAGATAAGGACGACCATAAAGGAGATAAAGATTGTTTGTTTGGTCCGGCCGACAACCGGGCTGCCGTGGGACAGTGCCTCCTTTTTGTTCGCCTTCTCTTCGGCTTCGTTCCTTCTGGTCAAACCACGGATCGCTCCGTTTTCTACTCTCTCCCTTTTTTTCTTTTTTCTTTTCTCTTTCTCCTCCCCAACTGCTTCTTGCCTCGCTGCGAGGCTGGTTTTAATCATTACGTATTCCATTCAGAATTTTTCCTCGTGCATTATTTAGCTGGAACTTGGTCCGAGGAAAACTTGGCCGGGTTGCTTCCGATTTTCATGCTACTTTTGGTCTTTATTAAATTCTTTATTAAAGAAGCAGGAAGGTGGGAATACGAATGGAGATGTGTGGTTGTATATCAGGCGTGCTCCGAATGAAATGCCTTTAATTTCTCGAAGGTACAGGAACGCGAGTGTATCGACTGCTGGGAGGACCAAGGAATTGTTCGTTTCGAGGATGGGTATTCCGGGGAAAAAGACAATGCCAGGAGCGAAGCGCGGAATGGTCGGGGAGAAAATCGAGAGGAATACCGGTAATGGAAAAGAATGACAAAGAGGCGGGAAAATGAGGCGAAAAGGGAACGGGAAAACGGAGGCTGCAGTGGGCGAAGATACAACGAAAGATGTTATCGAGGGAAAATAACC